CTTATGTAAACAAATATTTAAATGTAAATAAAACTTCTAATGTAATGCTTCCAATCATCGTCAATGCAGTGCAAACTAAAGGCTGATTTATATTTCTGCGTCAAGCGCACGCGTATGCTCCACCACAGCCTTTGCGCGGTCGCATAACCCTCGCCGTGGCTGACGACAACACTGACGCACACCTCTCAAAAATTTAACTACACGTCGCAACAACGCATATCGCAAGCTCTGTGATAGGTCAGCTTGGTAGCTGTGATCAGTGTGGCCGGGGGTGAAAGCCGCACAAACGCATTGTTTACAAGTGTGGAGTCCTGTGAAATAGCTCCAGACGAAAACTGTTGTTTTGTGTTTACAAGAGATGTCCAGATCTGATCATATAATTGGAAATTGGGCCGATCACGCAATCAGAATCAGACGTAACCTCCCGATAAGGACTCAAATATATATATTTATAAATTATTTTTTTAACACATCTATGGTTATGCAGTGGTTAGACCTCTTTAATTCACACAGAAACAGAAATGTGTGCGACATGACATCACTAGAACATGGAAGAACCTTTAAGCAGAAAACGTGAGTATGTCTGCGGTCTGAAGGTATTATACAGTTGATGACGACAACATTACCATAGCAAACGGTGTAAATTTGGGATTGCCTGCCAGGCATTTTAAGTTGAGGTGCTATTTGTTTTTATATTATATATATATATATATATATATATATATATATATATATATATATATATATATATATATATATATATACTGTTGCACTAAAGTCCAAAAGTGAATAATTGATGTTATTTATTACTTTATTGTTCAAGCTACCTCACAGAAGTGCACTGCTTGTTAAAATGAGGTGAATAAAAATAAATAAATAAATAAATAAACATCCTGGATCTGTTTCTACACTCTTTAGTTTTTTAATGTATTAAAGAAATATTGGATCAGGTTTCGGTATAAGTTGATAATCAAAATCAAATGACTCGGACTTGGACTGGAGGCCAAAAAAACCTGATTGGGGGGGAAGCACCTAATACTTTCAAAATGGCAATAAGCAAGAAACAAGCGTTACTGTGTTTTGTGTTCTTTCTTTAGACCGTCAATCAAAGGTGGACAAAAGTTGCCGGGAGAACCAGAGTCATTCTAATGATCAACAATACTCTGCACCCATGAGATTTGTAGGGTCAGGCTAATCTCTACCTCTCGGTTCACCCAATGGGTGGTCTATACAACCCTCAATTGCTCCAGTTTTCTCATCTACGAGGCGAGAGCTGAGTCGAAAGTGTCTGAAACTGAGTTTAATAAACTCCATAATCTACCAGGATTAAAAGTAGGCAGCATGATATTGGAAAAAAAATGACACTGAGATATTTTGTTTGTCTGCAATATACAGTTGAAGTCAGAATTATTAGACCCCTGTTTATTTTTTTCCTCAATTTCTGATAATGGAGCAGATTTTTTTAACACATTTCTAAACATAATAGTTTTAATAACTCATTTCTAATAACTGATTATATTTATCTTTGCCATGAGGACAGTAAATAATATTTTACTAGATAATTTTTAAGGCTTAACTAGGTTATTTAGGGTAACTAGGCAGGTTAGCGTAATTAGGCAAGTTATTGTATAATGATGGTTTGTTCTGTAGACTATCAAAAAAAATATAGCTTAAAGGGGCTAATAATTTTGTCCTTATATGGTATTTAAAAAATGTAAAACTGTTTTTATTCTAGCCGAAATAAAGAAAAAAAAATACTATCCGAATTTCCTTGCTCTGTTAAACATCATTTGGTAAATATTTGAAAAAGAAAAAAAATTCAAAGGAGGGCTAATAATTCTGACTTCAACTGTATATTGAGATGTGAATAGAATTTCACAAGATGACTTTTAATATCCTATATGGAAAGTGTATAAATATATATATATATATATATATATATATATATATATATATATATATAAAATATAATAAACATTATACGTTATAGATAAATACACCACATGACAAAAGTCTTGTCGCCCATCCAATATTTAGGAACAACAAATTATAACTTGACTTCTAGTTGGTCATTATAAGAAGTGGCTTATATGAAAGGCAAATGCCTCTAGATTACGCTTATTTTACCAAAATAAAACGTGAGCATGCCTTGATTTTTAATTATTTAATTAAGACAGTAAGGTCTGACTTTGCTTAGACAAAAGTTTTGTCATTTAACAGAAATATGGTACAGTATACAATATTAAGTCATGCTGCAGTGGAGAAAGAATAAATATTATGTATGACTCCCATGAGCTTGGAGGACTGCATCTACACATCTCTGCAATGACTCAAATCACTTATTAATAAAGTCCTCTGGAATGTCTGAATGTGTTCTTGCAGGACTCCCAGAGTTCATCAAGATTCTTTTGATTCATCTTCAATGCCTCCTCCTTCTTACCCCAGACATACTCAATAATGTTCATATGTCCGGTGACTGGGCTGGACAATCCTAGAGCACCTTGACTTTCTTTGCTTTCAGGAACTTTGTTGTGGAGGCTACAGTATAAAGAGGAGCGCTATCCTGCAGAAGAATCCGCCCTCTTCTGTGGTTTGTAATGTAATGGGCAGCACAAATGTCTTGATACCTCAGGATGTTGATGTTGCCACCAATGTAACCATGCAACCCCAAACCATGATTTTTTTTCTTCACCAAACTTGACTAATGTCTTTGAGAATCTTGGGTCCAATAGGTCTTCTGCAGTATTTGTGATGATTGGCATGCAATTGAACAGATGATTCATCTGAAAAATTTACCTTCTGCCACTTTTCCAAATGATCAACTAGAAGTCAAGTTACTATTTGTTGCTCTTACATTTGGGATCGACAACAAGACTTTTGTTAGTTAGTGTACAATTTAATAAAGATAATAACAATATAGTCTTCATTGTCTATATATATATATATATATACATACATATATACATATTTATACATATATATAAATAATATAAATACACACACACACATACATATATATATATATGTGGCAGATTCGCACATTACAATATCAATGCTAAAAAGCCAAACTGTGCAGCCCTAATTAAAAGTAGTACAATCAGTAAAGCAAAACACTTTGTTATTTATACCCCTGAAAAAGTGGAAAACACCCCCAGAAAGGGATATTCCTTAATGGTTTTTGCAAAGCAGACATCCTTTATACAATCTGCCTGTTTGAAGTGCTTTGCATTGAGAACAGTAGTCTGTTTTGAATCATCGTAATTCGCATTTCTGGTGGGCAGTAATGACTCAGCCAACTATCTCTGGTCCATTCAGCACTTCTCAGGTCCTGTATTGTACACCATGACAAACTAGTAGCTAACATTGAGTGTTGTCATAGATTGCAGAGCCAAAAGCCATAACAGCACGTCTTTTGCATACACAATAACGACATTCCTGTAACTGCCAAGAGAGAGAGGAAATGGATTTTTTTTAGCTGCTTGAAGGGCGGGTGAAAAAGGGGGATTCCAGGCTAGGGAACATTAATCTGGAGAGCCAAAGAGTCACTGTAAGCAACCCCCTGCCTTATCTATCGCCTTTTTTTTCTCGTTTCTCAGTATGCGAGGGGTGTGGTAAAGCAGAGGGGATATTTTTCTGGTAGATTCCCAGGTGAACCGTCAGAGGCTCGCCCACTCAACGACTTAACAGCCAGCAGCGCCTTATTAAAGAACTGAAACATTTTTTTTTTTGCACAGCAACAAAACCTCCGAAACCACATAACTTGACAGAAGGCGCAGGCAGTCATTCAGAATCTGCGAGCTGAATGAGATGTGAAACAGTTGGTTAATCCAGCATGCTCTTTGCAATCCCCTGTGCATGTGATACGGGCCGTGGCGAGGACTATAATTAGATAGCAGAAATGCAATAGTCACTGCAAACATCTTGACTACATTTTAAAAATGTGATAAATCAGCCGTGTAAAATATATGGGAGATATTTTTACGAATTTGCCCAAGAGAAAACACCAGCATCTGCTATCTTTTGAGGCATCCTCAAGGGAGAGTGGCTTTAAAGGGTGGAGGAAGAAAACTGGCATGTCCAATCCAGCTCAACTTAGAGCACTTTGTAAGACCAAAGACATAGCAGATATTTATTTGACATTATTCATTTGACATATTTTATTTGATATTATGAGTGCATTTTCAGGCATATGTCTGATTGGTGGACTTTTAATGCGAATACATCTTATGGACATCATCTTTATCTTCCTCAAATCACTTATTAATAAAGTCATCTGGAATGGCAAAGAAAGCGTTCTTGCAGGACTCCCAGAGTTCATCAAGATTCTTTGGATTCATCTTCAATGCCTCCTCCTTCTTACCCCAGACATGCTTAATAATGTTTATGTCCGGTGACTGGGCTGGCCAATCCTAGAGCACCTTAACCTTCTTTGCTTTCAAGAACTTTGATGTGGAGGCTGCAGTATGAGAAGGAGCGCTATCCTGCTGAAGAATTTGCTCTCTCCTGTGGTTTGTAATGCAATGGGCAGCACAAATGTCTTGATACCTCAGGCTGTTGATGTTGCCATCCACTCTGCAGAGCTCTCGCATGCCACCATACTGAATGTAGCTCCAAACCATAATTTTTCTTTCACCATACTTGACTGATTGCTGTGAGAATGTTGGGTCCATGCGGTTACCAATAGGTCTTCTGCAGTATTTGTGATGATTGGGATGCAGTTAAACAGATCATTCGTCTGAAAAATCTACCTTCTGCCACTTTTCCAAATGATCAACTAAAACTACAAATAAACATTTTCTCAAATATAGGGATGCATCTGTGTATTTATAAACTTTATTTTTGCATACTTTACCCAGCACTAATTATAATTTATATTTTCTCATTAATATATACAGTATAATAAATATATTACCATTTTTTTAAATGAATTGAAACTTTTTAATTAATATTAGTGCTTCTAAAGTCATAATAGCAGACTCTTGAGCAGGCCAGTTACTCACCACGGAAGTAAGAGCCATCTGAAAGCTGTAGATCCGCGCCAGGCCAAAATCAGCCAGCTTGATCTGTCCTCCACTGGTTACTAGAATGTTTTGAGGCTTAAGATCCCGATGAACCACACGGTGAGAGTGGAGGAAATCAAGACCCTGCAGCAGCTGGTACATCATATCCTGCCAAAACAAGACCAAATAAGCAACTACAAATATATAAGCACTACATTTTAATAACCGTAAGTGGATTTAATCTGATGGAACAGTATATATACAATATACAGCTGAAGTCAAAATTATTCGCCCTCCTTTGATTTTTTTTCTTTTTCAAATATTTCCCAAATAATGTTTAACAGAGCAAGGCATTTTTCACAGTATTTCCGATAATATTTTTTCTTCTGGAGAAAGTCTTTTTTTTAATTTTAGCTAGAATAAAAGCAGATAAAAAATTTTTGAGGTCAATATTATTAGCTCCTTAAGCAATATTTTTTCCGCTGTCTACAGAACAAACTACTGTTATACAATGACTTGCCTAATTACTCTGACTTGCCTAATTAACCTAATGAAGCCTTTAAATGTCATTTTAAGCTGAATACTAGTATCTTGGAAAACATCTAGTAAAATACAGTATAAAATAACAGCTTCGTCGGTCTGTTGGTCGGCGTCGGTCTGGCTAGTTGGTTTGGGCCATGTTTGAGCCACTTTTTTTGCATAAAAGTGCACAATTTTCTCTCTGTTTCAGCTTTCCGTCTACACCAGGGGTGCCCAAACTTCTTCTGACAAAAGGGCCAAAAACTAAAGTTGGCTAGTGGGCCAAAGGTAAATATAGTTGTCATGGGGGATTTTTAAATTTATTTTTATAATATTTTTAAAATAACTAGAAAGTCGGCACCAGTGGTGTAGTGGTTAGTGCGTCGACACATGCCCTCCAGTGCTCACAACGACCCTAGTTCGATTCCGCCTCTATTCCGGCCCTATGCCGATCCTTCCCCTCTCTCTGCTTTCCATGCTTTCCTGTCAATTCTCTCAACTTTCCTATCCAAATAAAAGCGAAAACCCCGGAAAAAATAATAATAATAATAACTAGAAAACATTGCTTTATATTAACTAATATGCCTTTTTATGTTTTCTATTGAACTTATTAAAGTAAAAATCAAAACAATCTCATTTATTTTGAATGGAGACAAAAATTTGCTCGCCGATGTCTTCTATGTGATAGTGATAGTATTTACGTTTTTAAAAATCAGATTTACAACATTTAATTGAAACATTTGTATCTTTTTTTGTAACTCAGCAATTAAACAAACAAGCAAAAAAATGTTACGTCAAATTAAACATGATGAATGGCATTCTCGCCAACCCTCTCCATCATTCGTACTCTCTTTTCAGGTGGGATGGTGGGCCAAATCAAAGGTTAGAATGGGCCAACTTCGGCCCATGGGCCCTACTCTAGTCTATACTGAGATGGCATTTAAAGACCACGTATTTAAAAAAAAAAAAAAAACGCTTTGCAAAGTCAATAAATTTGGAAACGGCATTTTTGTCTTGCAATGTATACAGTGAAAATGGAGGCTTTCAAAAACGATGGCGCGTTTTAGTCATGTTACACAGTCATGTGATCAATTTGGCTAATGTGGTAAACGACATTGTAAAGCAGATGTTTTTGGATGCTGTGCTTTGCTTGCAAATAATGTTTAACAGAGCAAGGAAATTTTCACAGTATGTGCGATAATATATTTTTCCTTCTGGAGAAAGTCTTCATTGTTTTATTTCGGCTAGAATAAAAGCAGTTTTTAATTTTCTAAGGTCAATATTATTAGCCCCCTTTAGCAAATTTTTAGATTGTCCACAGAACAAACCATTGTTATACAATGACCTGCCTAATTACCCCGACTTGCCTAATTAACTTAATTAAGCCTTCAAATGTCACTTTAAGCTGAATAGCATCTTGGAAAATATCTAGTAAAATATCATGTTCTGTCATCATGGCAAAGATAAAACAAAGCAATCATTAGAAATGCGTTGTTAAAACTTACGTTAAGAATTGTGTTGAAATCAATCTTTTCATTAAACACAACTTGGGGGAAAAATATACAGGGGGGCTAATAGTTCTGACTTCAACTGTATATATGAATGAGGAGTGAAAAACTGAGCATGTGTCTTTAAAGCTCATGTCTGGCAGATGTTGATAACTAATGTGACGGCAGAGCAGGAAAGACAGACTGCTGTACGGCTGCATCCCCGCAGGCCTCTGCTTCCCTGCAGCTGTCCTGGATCACAGCTAATTATCAACTGCCTCGTTCTGCCTGTGGCCCAATATGAAATCAAACCACAATACATAAACAAACAAAGAAACAACTTAAAAGTGCTTGAACTAGTTAACTCATTCTAAAGCATGGAAAACAACAAGCTGACGGTTAGCCAGTGGGCCTCATTAGGCTGTTGGTAAGCGTCGGTCTAGCTAGTTGGGTTTGGGCTATGTCCACACTAATTCCAGGGCTTGAAATTACAACCGTTTTGGTCGCATATTTTCTTATTAGCCCACTACGCTAGAACAGAACGCAAATGGATTGGTTAATATCAGCTGTCAATCACTCAGTTAAGATGACAAGGAGCTACAGCCGCGAGTATGTAAAGGTCGGGATACGAGAGACTGACAATAACACTGACAGGTTTCGTTTTAGAAACCACCTAAAGTTACAAATAATGGCACATCGGATTTGTGATCATGTAATGAATGTCAATCCAGCATTTATACTTTTCAAATAGTGTATAAAAGACTTCCGGTGTTTAAAGTTCACAATGAAAATGACTAAAGCACCCACTTAAACCACTAGATTTCCAACATTACTAGCCACTCGCCATTTTCTCTTTTTATTTTATATGCATAAATTTGACTCGGACATGCTAAAATGCTTTAGGTGTTGTGTAATGTCCACATGCCTTCTCATTTATTTCACTTTTTCTGTGTATTTTGTATTAGCTTGCTCAGTGTGCATGAGCAAATGGGTTGTCCCAATGCAATTATGTTTTATTTCATGACTTTTCAGGGCTCAAAATTAAGGATTTACCAAGTTTATGTCTGACCACACCAAATAAGTAATTCTTAGCCACAATTTTTTTATGTCAATACAAGGAAAATATAGCTGTATAGATGCACTTTTTAATTCAACAAAACTTTTCTTTAAAAAAAAACATTAAAAAAAATAATAAAATTCATTAAAAAATGTATCTAAAATATGCACAATAATCTGTCCTGGCTAAATTTCCCAGATCACCAGTTAACTACTTATAAAAGGGGAGTGAATCTCCCATTAAAGAAATGCTATTGTAAAAAAAATATATAATTAAACCATATTAACAAAAATAACTAAGCAAATGAAAGCAGGTGTTGGATAATGAAAGGCCTGTTAATAATCTGTTCCAAGAATAATTAAAATGAAAGCAGTTACCGCTGCTGGTTACAAAACAATGTGTATGTTTAACCTTGAGCTCTTGAAAGCAGCAGGACTGTGGGTGCACGATCATCGCTCTCTGTCCAGTCTATTTCAAAGGGAACCGACTGCACCATTTGTGCTTCTTTAGGCACGGTTGCTACGCGCAAGTAAACAGGAGCGCTCGCGCTTATTAACAGTCCCATGCGTCACATCACCTCTGCGCGTGAGTGATCATCCTCTCGATTGGTTTTTACCTTCTTTTTTGCGGTTTTGCTCGCACGAACACAGTTATTTTTGTCAGTCGTGCTGCTTTTTGATTTTAAGATGACATTTGCATGAATATTGGGCCATGCTTATTGTCGAACCCTGCTTTTAAGAACACTACAATTTTAAAATGATTTCCAACCAGCCAAAGTGGCTATTGGAGGTGTCTGTCTAACCCACCAGAGCTGAAGTCTACCCGCATTTGGCGGGGTTGGCGGGTGTTAATGTAAAGCCCTGTATATATCCATTCCTAATATATGATAAAAGTGATACATTTTTTATAAATTGTTAAAATATTTGTGCCAGTGATACAGCAAGTCTAGAGACTGTAGTGTACACCATGATTTCATGATTGATATGACTAAGAGGGGAATATTTTCTCAGTTCAAATGAGTAGCGGCTTGCACCCGGAAACGGTATCCCATACGTCACGACTTAAGCGGATAAATAAGACCAAATTATAACAATAAAAATTCAACACTCTTTAAGTATACATATATTTTTGTCCATTTCAATGCACATCAGGTTAGAACAGTTGTACTTCCTAACCATTATACCGACATGACACACAAAAAAACATACGACATGTAAATAATGAGTGAACTACCCCTTTAAAAGGAAGGTGTGGGGTGGAAAGACAGCAACCAAACTGCCCTTAACTCTGATACAAATTGTCGATAACGGTCTTAGAAGGTCTAACTGGCAACCAGATAAGAAAACAAAAATGGGGCAGTACATACAAAAAAGTTGGGTGGAAGTGCCGAGCAAAGAGCATTTGCTCACAGTTGCTGCTTGACTTGCTCCAAAGCAGAGGTATCAAGCGGTGGCAGGCCTACCCCTGAGAAACCCGCTGCCAAGACCTCACAAGTGACATGGATCCGAGCCCGCGGCACTGTTCATTCCCCCACCAGCTGGTGAGTGATTAAAACCACTGAAACAATGGGGTGCACACTCAAGCAGAAAACTGCAAACGGCGCGAGTCAGACCAGGGCGAGGGGAAGGGGACGGAGGTCTTCACAATGCTCGCGCTGGGGGGAACGCGTGTGTGTTAGAGTCAGGCAGCCAGCGTAAACAAGGAGCCTTTCTCAATACCCATCCAGCCATGACCTCTCAGACCTTCAGGCACAGGCTGTTATTCTGGGAGCTCCTAAAACAGCATCACCCCCTACCAGCTCCTCTGTCAAGGCCTAAAATGGTCCACGGTTGGCCCATTTTGGCTCCAGACAAAAAGTGAAAAGAAAAAAGAAAGGTACACAAGCGCTTGGAAGTGTGACCCGAGGATAAACACACATATCGTCTCCTCCCAACACATATTAAGTAGCTCGTGAGCCTTTTATGCACGTGTTATGTATCCAATTATCATGACAAATGGAGTCTGTGCGCATTTCCAGCACCACTTTTGTAGGGGAAGCTGTACATGTGTAGCTCAATACAAGGTTATAAAATAAATATCCGTACCATTCAAAATTTTACAGGTCA